CCTCAGCAGCAGCAGTGCATAGTGCGAGGGTATAGAGCTGCTCCTCAGTCTGCTCTTGCCCAAGCTGGACAAACACCTTCTCCCTCTCCTCTGCATCCTTCTGGTCACTTGCAAAGGCCCGCCACGAAAATTCGACGATAACATCCGAATTATTGCTGATGACAAAACTTTTCCGCGTACCTTAACGAGAACCACTTTCCGACCATTTCGGTCGCTCCCACAAACCGTACTTAGTGCGATGTAGGTATTGTCCATTTGAATACTTCTGGCGCTGAATTCAACGTCGCCAGTGACTCCTGTCCCCTCGCACTCTACAATGCTCGTCTGAGTTCCGCTGGTCCGATGGTCTTCGCTCGGTAGCGACCAATTGGTCTCCCCTGGGTTGAAATACCTAAGCTGGTTCAGTAACGAATGGGCTTGTCATTGAACTCACCGAATAGCAACAGTCCCACAGTAGTGTTCCAAAGCAGTCGGCCTGAAACCCAGCTCCAGCTGAACACCCTCACCCGCTTCTACGAAACCGCTGCCGCCCGAGATGCAGTAAAATACATCAGAAATTGAATCTGATTACGATAAGACCAACTCATGAACGCCGGGTAGGGACATACCTTGGAGAGAGCGTTCGTCGGGGCCTAAATGGACGGAGTACTGAGCAGCTACATCGCCAACGTTCCTCACATATACCACGCGAGACTCGCCGTGTTTTACTAAGACCTACAGTCAAAGCACGCGTGATTCACGGGACGGTACACTCTCAACCGACATTGCCGAAATCGAGTCGTCGAGGAACCTCGAGCTTTGGCACGCCCGCGAAGGCTCGTATAGGGACTATGAATATCTCTCGCTCGGTGACGACTTCCAGATCATGACAATAATCAGCTCGGGTATCGGGATGAAATTTGATGAGAAACGACACTTCCATGCCGGGGGCTACGAGATCGTATCGATCCTTGCCGCTCTTACGAGTAACCTGAGATCGCTTACCCAGCAGGAGGATCAATAGGAATGGTATGTACCTTGAAGTGGTCCACTTGGGGAGGTAGAATTTGCACACGCCTCGACACAGTGTCCTTATTCCGCAACGACAATGTCATGCTCAGCTTATCCATCCCATGGTAGTGAGCGAACTGAACCACATCATGATCGAGCACTTGGAGAGAACGCACGCCTGGGCTTACTCGGATCATGGGTGGACTGGGTTCGAATAGAGGCTCGTCCCAAGGGACATTAGTCTCCCTATGCAGCGAGTGGAACGCAATGTCCAGGTTCCGTACGATACGGAATCGCCGGACCGACTTGGTGACATGCTGACCTTCATGTAGACTGTCCCTTGGGAATATCTCGGAAACTTCAGACACGACCATAGAGGAGAGGAGGGAAAAGAGAGGTAACTATCATAGACCGAGAGTAGCCATTGCTGCCGACCGATTTCAGCACGAGCTCAACTGCTCAACTACGTGGCTGATGGTCACGACAAGGGAAGTGCTCATATTCTCGCCAGTTAGTTGGAAAGGTAAACCAAGGACATAATGCCGATACGTTATCTTCCTCAGATGGACAAGCGCTTAGACGTGTCGACCTCGACAGGCGTAGCAAGGCATATGCGGTAGTGAACCCGTCAGTATGCATATCCGCATTTCCTTTCCTGGGAGATATACGGCTATATCCATCGTTCCTCTCCCTCGGTCCATCAGGGAGCTCGTCTCTGGCCTGTTGTGATCGACGCTTACGCCCACTAAGTTTGGAAATTACTACGAGGAATCTCACGTCGCGTCCTTCACTGCGAGTGTTGCAATCTTCCCAAAGAGATCTTGCGCTTGTCCTGCAAGTTGCATGAAAAGTTTATGTTGCAGCATATCACATCACCATTGCAGCAAGAGCAGATGGAGGGCGATTGTAGTGTTGGATTTCGCTACTATCAGCAGGCTGTAGTAACCGGCGATAGGGCATTCACTTTACCCTGCACTAGTGGAGGAGGAGGCGACGACAAGCTCCCAACGCAAGTAGTAGTAGCACAGGTCCATGGGTCAACAGATAGGCATTGGAAATTTACTGTGTGCCCTCTTATCGTACTGCACTGTTCACCGTGGAAAATCGATACGATCGAGCAACCCTCGGGCGAGCTCCTCCGTCTGAAATTGTATAGCACGCCGCCCGACGAGAAGAGCCGTCCTCATACATCAGTTATTTCGGTGAACTTCCCCGACAATAGCAAAACTCTCGGTATACGGTGTCACAGTGTAAGACCGATGTTCCTACATCCTTCTGGTGAATCCTTAGAAGGGAGCCCCTTGGACAATACACACGCCAATTCAGGGAGTTGTGGTAACGCCTCGACTAGTAGGTGAGGAGAACGCAGTCGTGGGATAGTGTACGCATCTCTAAGTGGTCCACGCCTAGTCGCTACATCGTTCTACCCTAAGGGTTATATTCTTAGGCTAGTAAGCCATGCATTGACCACTGCGGCCTTCCAGACGGCTTTGGTGGTCCTGGCAGTCATCGGTGGTACATTCATCCGCTTCTATGTATTTTCCTAGACGTAAGGCCCAACTGTGCTGATCGGCTACCTCCCTTTTATCGCTCAGATCAACTCCTACTTCCCTATAATATGTAAGTCATCTGCTCATGGTCGCATCTCATGCCCTATTGCGTGATACTCTATGACAATCACGCTCCCGTCAAGAGCTCATATGCAGTTCTAAGAGTCTATTACCATTGGGACTGTTGTGATGAGAGGGGAGCTGAGTTGTCCCCGAGGAGCTGCTCTTTTTATCACCTTTTTTTCAAGAGTAGACACCGCATGGTATTCCTCGTGCTCTCACGAGAGATGGAGACTCTCCATCATCATCAATTCGAAAACTACTGCCCGGATCGCGTATCGCTGATAAGAGCGTCCTCGCGAACTTACTGGCAGCTCTCAAGCTCCTAGATATATAGTGTTATTTGCTGGCATTTAGTTGCATTGATCCTGAGGTCCTCGGCATTGGTCTGGTTTCTCTGTTTCACGTCGGGGTCGTGCTTCTCTGCCTTCCTCTACGACATTTCGTAGAGTCGTAGTAACTTCTCCGATGGCTGTACCTAATCTCAAAGGCCTTCTTAGAGCCCCCACTGTTTCATGATCGGTAAGTAGTGCATGACGGCGAGCCATTCATAACCAGTCGCAAGCTTGACATTTACTCTTTTGATCTTGAGTTATCACCAGGGGTGGTAAAAGGTCGTAGTAGTTGTCTATAAGGGATGGCCACTGATGACAAATACGATAGACAGATACGGCTGTGGGGAGGGCATGGACAGAGGGCGTTGATGGACTCCAAAGTATGCTACTCTACCAGACACCTATGCATAGTAATATGGCTCCCATCAGATCCTGGCGCTAGGGTCGACATCGGTGGTGTCCGAGACGTTGAAGAACCTAGTAATGCCTTTTCCTACATGCCTAGTTGCAACTCAGTCATCATAGGTGCTACCGGGAGTCGGCAACTTCACCGTAGTAGACGACCTCACTGTGTCCGAACGAGACCTCGGGCAGAACTTCTTCGTCCGGAGTAAGACTCTACCACTCTGTGGTGAATACTACTCTATCGTTGCAGGGGAGGATCTGGGCATACCCCGAGCAGTAGCAGTATGCAACCTCTTGCTCGAGCTCAATCCTGATGTCTATGGCCATGCTATTGTGGAGGTACTCCCCTTCCAGCTCGTCAGTTTGCATACGTCCTTCAGAACATCCGAACCTACGTATCACAGCGCCTGCTCAGCCTTCCTCCTGGTGTTGTGCCCCCCTTCAATTTGGTATTGGTATCTATGCACTCTTGCGGCAGTAGGGTCGCTGAGGCTGTGAACGAATGGTGTAAAGCTACCGGCACGAAGATGTTACTTGTGGACAGCATAGGGTGCAATACAGTGGAATCAAGAGATGGTATTTTACGCTTTTTCTATCAGATTTGTCGGTAGTGTACGTACATATTCAGCGAGTCACTGCATCGTTGAGTCCAAAGGGACACGGAAGGTGGGTTACTCCTGATGGCCCTCAAGGGCCTTGACCCCGGCTCAGGTGACTTGGGCGTCGACCTACGAATATCACAGCCCTTCCCTGAACTGGA